TGCTGACTTCCTGGGAGCCAGAACTTCACAATCACTCTCTAAATATGTAATCTATGGTCACAATAAAAGAGCGGGATGTTTAAGTAATGGAATTTTTAAAATTATTGCCACAAAAATAGAGACCGGACATGTATCACCATGACCAGCTATCTTTCAGAAAATTTACGTAGCGAGATCAACGCAAAGTCTTAAGTGATGCCCTAATTTGGTAGTAGTAAAAGAACTGAAACATCCTTCAAAGTTCAGTGAGCAAAAACAATTCTGTTTCTCCCTTGGCTAAAGGGCCTCCTACCATTATACTGTAGAGCGGATCAGTTAAGACAAGCTTCTTTTTAAACTCATAGATGTGCAAATCCCTTTGGCTTTTGTGAGTAGACAAAATATTTTAATTTGAAGAAAGAGAATGAATGTCAATGACTTGCTATTTGATAGTGATCTATATCTATTGATACAGATTTATTACCAAATTTGAAAAAAAAAAAAAAAAAGAGATCAATTTGTAGCATTTTGCTGATAATTGTATTTTTTGGATATGCGTATTCATCAACATCTCATTTTTATTACTGTTTGCTGTCAAACTGTTTAAAAATGCCATCTGAAGAAAGTAGAATAGTCTGAGTGTTTATTCAATAATACTTTCTTTGTGTATCGTATTATCCATGCTGGACAATGGAAAGCATCTAAAAAATGCTGGGTTTGTAAGTCTGGGATGTGAGGAATTATAGGCAATATAAACAAATGTGAATCTCTGACGCATATTAAAATTGTTATAATTACACAGTGTGTAAGACGTGGATAAAATACACACATCTATGACAGGAAATCGTTATTATTATTATCACAGGATAATAATAATAATTATTATTATTACAGGAATGTCATATCACTGAAAGGTGATACAGCAAATTTAAAATACACACTAGACAATAAACACAATCAGTAAAAAAAACTAATCGCCTTTATTTTGTGTTGTGAAATACTGTGCTGTCATCAGCACCTACAGTTGACTGTCACTACTTTCAGGACATTATCATAGGTCTTTATAACGCAACACCAGCAATGCTTCCCAGAGAAATGTAAACACCACAGCCTACCATGTGGCATGTGGCAAATGTGTATCTATCTGTGGCAAATGGCATAAAATAAGACTGAACTTTTGCTCCACGTATGAGGGAGCTTGATCAGGGCATTTTTAGCTACTACATCACCATGGCAAGTGAACTGCTTAGGTAATGTCTACAGTGAGAAGTCTACACACCTCAGTGCTTTCCTTTAGCTAACGAAGCATAGGCTTTCAAAGGCAAATACAAAACTTGAGCCAAAGAGAGCGCAACTCGGACGGTTTCCCCATGATGTTCAACTGTTCAAATGTGACCCTAGTTCAGCAACAGTATTATTAGTTTTACGTAGGATTAAAAATTAATAAAGAAATCTGTGCTTAAGCTATACTAGCAGGTAAGCCTGCTAGAAATATTAAAAAGAAGACTGGATTGTCATCCATTTGTAGGGTGAGGTCACCATCTGGTAAAACCAGCATTATTTATTTCTTCAGTGATCCTTTGCATGCAGAAGACAAAACCTTTGGTTTTGATAACAAAAATGAAGCACAGAAAAAAATTTAAATAAAAACCCAAACTCTCTGCAGTACATATTTCTTACTGTCAAATACATATGCAACCATTTGGTGTTTTCTTATTGCTATAAAAAAAAGCAATTTAAGAAAAGTGACTGCTAATGCAAAAAAAAAAGCCAAACAAAAAAACCCAACCCACCACTGAATAACAAGAACCAAACTAAAATATATCCAGAAGTCCCCCATTGAATCACAAGCTCACCATAAGAGATATCATTCTCAGTTTATTTACATTCCTAAGCATGAACATCTATTTTTCCTCATTTCATTCAGAACTCTTTTACAACTAAGGCCCCAAACCTACAATCAATAGAGTATAGGCACAGAAATTCCCCTCCATGCTGCCGTTAGCAAGACTAGAAAGACCTACGACTTGATCCAAAGTCCAATAATGTCAGCAGGGAGTCTTTCTACTTCCTTCATGGGGTTTAGAAAGGGCATCTGAGGTCAGCAAGCTGCACTCTTTATTCTGTCAGAAATTCCACTGAGGCAGTGCAGTACCAGTCTCCACATAATTACATACATCTTCTTCCTGAAACTGAGGTCAGTCACATTAATCGTACTTTCATGAGAAAACGACTTTTGGAATCAAACTAGTTTTGTAAAACAGAAATAAAAAACATACTATACATCAGTTATGGCAATGTTTTGCGCTACTCTAAAAAGATTCACTGTTTAGTTGTTAAACTTTTCTGTTACTAGAGATGGAGTTATTTATGAATGACCAAAGAAATGCCTGTCAACACTCTTGCATTTCAGTACTGATTACTCTGTTATACATCAAAAATAGTAAGAAACAATAAGGTCCTCAGGCTCACCTGAGGCAATGCACTTGGGCATATACTTTGGAAATAGGGATGGATTTGTACCTATATTCAATTAAATGTTTTTCTCCATTTTTAAAAATATCAAAAATATTGATAAATTACATCAACACATGATGCCAAATTTAAAGCAGACATGACAGGGCAATGTTTTCATCACTGCTGCAGTTATCTAGAACTTCAATCATGGCTACCACAAAATAAAATGAAAAAAATCATAAATAAAACCACTTCTTTCCCCACTACCTGATCTGCAATCTGATAATAACAGTAAAATAAATAAATAAATAAATGAACATCAGCCACAAATACTTCTATCAAGCATGGTTTCAGATTAATCTTGAATCAATGATACAATCCCAAATTATTAGAATATATTTGTCATTTGCTGGATTGAGATTTGCAGCTTCACAAATCACACTGTATCAGCGGTACTGAGAATGTCAGTCTCTCTGTTTTCCTCTGTAGTGGTTGGCTCTTCCTTTAATAAAACGCTTAACTGTTTCTGTGCACATGAGAGGAAAAGTTCCAAACTATACAGGTTTCTCTGACGAACAACTTGATCAAGCTGTTGAAATAAAAAAATAAATAGATGAATTTTAAGAAAACCTGGAAATAAATGCCAGGGTTTGTCAGCAAAAATCCAACCATATTCAACAACAAAAAACTCAACAACCAAATGCAACAACAACAAAAGAAGCTAAGTAACTTCTACGCATACAATTTAGTAACAACTTTTTAATGAAGTATTTGAGTTTCTTCAAAATAAAGTGTACATAAGGCTAAAAGTAACCTTCCAACAGCTGTCAAATTCTACACAAAAAAATCTGAAAAAGCTAAACAGCCTAGCTGCCACACTAGGTAAATACCCACAGCATCTTTTAAAACTGCAGCTGTTGCTTTTATAAAAGATACTGCTTCTGCTTTAAAATGAACACTACATATAACTGCATATTCAAAAATTCAAAGTCTACTGTTAATTTAAGTAGCAGCACGTTTAAATAGTTCCCAGTGGAAGACAGGCAATATTTTCTGCCTTATTCCAACATTTTATTGGAGTCCCCTACTGTCAAACACTGTGAATAATATACTCACTTGCCGTAAAGACAACAGCCCTTTCTTGCCCATAAAAAAATATAAGAACACTGTAAGAAGACTTGGTAGGTTATGTCATATAAATGACATAAAAATACGGTTTAACGAATGTGGCCGTATTTTTTTTTTAAATATATCATGCTTCATGTATCTAGCACTCACAGCTTTAATTATAGCTTTCAACAAAAAGTCTGATTCTGTGGTATCTCCCTGCACATATATGCTCATCATTCAGCAGTCCAGTTAGTTGCTCTAGCAATCACTTGAATAGATGTTTTGATTTGTAACAGACACACTTAAAAAAAAATTGATACAGAATGCAAGGCAAAGTTAGTGATACCTTCCCACTTCATTTTGAAAATGCACTCAGGGTATAGGTGCAGCGCTGTGACTGAATACATAAAGGGAAACGTTTTTATGACCCTGTGTTTTGCTGCTCTTTAAATTCCTCTAATGTGCAAAACCAGGCTCTGGTAGTCTGAATATTTTGACATTTTGTTTCAACAGAGATGAATGTGTCAAATCTAGTCACAGGAAGAATACACACACATTTTCTAGAAGCCACACAATCATAAAACTCTCTTTTAGTAATACGACTGCTTGTACTCCTACTTCTGCAAATTTCCAGCTGTTGTGCAAATTTTTGCATCTCTTAGCAAAAGCAGACATTAGTGCTCCATACATAGCCTGATGTGAACCTACGGCTGATTTACAACAGATTTTAAAGCAGATCTAGTTCAGATAAATTTCAGAGAAGTCTGGTCCTGATATATTTAAGTAACAGCTGCTACTGACAAGAAAAGGAAAGACTTTGAAACAGCAAACTCAGCTCTAAAGAAGCTGTATCTAGAAAAAACAGTCTGAAACAAATGAAGAACATAAACACACTGATGTGATGGTGCATTTCTTCTGATTTGAAAGGCATCTTGCCTCATTCCTCTTCTGTAATTCAAAATATAAAGAACATTTTGCATGGGGAAGCTTGCAGATGTTTTTGTGCTTGTGACCCATATTTCTCTGGGGAATGGGCAGATATAGTGCAATTCACATAAAATCATCTGTTATGTCTTAAGAAAGAACATGAGAAACCTCTTTCTCTAAACATATTATGTCATCAAATTCTGTTGCTTCTGGTAGATACATCAGTTGGAGGAGCTTAGCATGAAACCGATTTTCAATGGTTTCCTTTTATTGCATATTATATAATCCATACTTGTAGATAGTTCTTTATTGAGCTTTGACCAAGAGCTTTGGCTAAACTCTCCATTTTCTTTTCTTGCAGCCTTTCCTTGCAGATTCTCCTTTAAAGAGATCAAAGTAGCTCACCAGATGTGTGTTCCGATATGCTGCTGTTAACTTTCTTTACCAAGGTAGCAATCAAATTGTATACGGTTAAATTTATTTCACAAAGTAAATGTTTAATGTGTGTAGTGACTGGTTGCAATATGAGCAAAATGGAATTTTTTCATGCTTAAGAAAGATTTTAAAAGTCTCAAATGAATTAGGTACACGTTTGAGGAGTCTCTGTTGAACTCAAGTGGTTAGTTGGGTAGTCTCCCTTTGTGAGTAAGAAAAGTTGATTGCTTGTTAAAAGTTTATTCGATAACATAAAAGTTCAGAATTCAGTTGCCCCCTGTCTGATCAGTATGTATAAGTTTTGCCTTGAGCAGTACATTTTAAAATTCTTCCATGCTACAGTAAATGACAAAACACTCTGAAAAGACTTGGGATGTCCACATAATATGAAATGAGGAGCAGCAAAATGATGCTGGCTTTGAAAACGGTACATTTGGATGTGTTCAGAAGGAGAACATTCCATTAATGGAGAAATTGACTGCGAAACAGAAACAAATCCAATGCAGCTTTGTTATGTAATATATTATTTAATGAAGTGATAGCAACACTTTTTATTGAACAGTGCCTCAACATTGCTGTGCTTCTGCTTGCATAACATACCATGAGATGTGAAAATACGTAAGTAAGGCATTTTAAGTAATATGTAAGTAAGTAGGGCATTCTTGTTTTTCTAAACAGTCTTCCCTCTATATTTTTAGGCCCTGTTCACTTCATGGAATGATCTCATTATTTAAACAAACATAAATGGACATCTGGCAAATTCAAACTGAATATGACTCATATGCAAATGTAATCAGTGTGAATAACGTATTAGGAATGGAGCATTCGCACAACCAAACCAACCCAACTGTTCTAATTCTATAGATACCGCAAAAATGCACCGTGTTGGTCCAGATCTACCACATGAGAAGGCAATTTTCTACATCACACCATCATTGTTGTTACTACTAAGCAATGTTTCTCTTCCCCCATGTGAAATCTATCCAATTCAAAGTTCCCAGTTCTGTACATTGTGTCCTACTGTCACAGCTTTAATTAGCTCAAAGTTTTAATGTTCCTGAACTTCATTATTTTAAATTACTCAACAGTACCTTTTTAACTCTGTACAGAATTTTTTTTTTTTTTTTTAAGAACCAGCAATTAAGTACATTGCTACTCTATGTACTCACGGAACCTACTGAGGAACTAGCTATGTAAGATCTGGAAAAGCAGTTTTCCAAAAAGAACTCCATAGTGTCTGGATCACTCCTGAAAGTCCCACAATCATTGAGATACTCATTTTCCAATGAATCCAAGCTGATTCTTGCAGGACATTCTACCACATTCACTGCTGTTTTTTCCCTTCTGTTTAAACCTTCAGTCCACTTTGGAGGTTTGAGTGTGATTCCGCCACCCTTCCGGTCAAAGATGACTGGAAGAGACTCCCATTGGGGTCCTGACTCAGTCATATCCCTAGACCACCCAGAATGATGCGCCTTTGAGCCACGCAAGGCATGCCCTGACGGGAGGCATAGGCCTCAGCAGAACTCCTATCACTGGATGCAAGAATTTGACTTGGGAAATAAAAGGAAAGGCTCACAGTAACTGTACAGCACACTGCCCCCAGGTGGTGTTTTCCCCCCAGGCTGCTCTATTTTACTTTTAAGTCAATCCACCTTTTCTTGTATCACTTCATAAACCCGCAGGTCAAGCCAAATAATTATTCTTAGCTCTACATTTTCTTAGCTTTTTTTTATACAGCTCAAATTTTCTGTAAAATGGAGTGAAAGTCTACATGACTAATGCCTAAAGTAGAAAATAGTTTCTTACACAACTAACTGACCATGCACAACCTCCATATTTTCCCCTTGCAATATCTACCTGCAAGCAGATACATTTTCATGGCGTATGTGCGCTTAGCTTCCTCTGTTGAATATTCTCCAACCTGTTAAACATTACAAATTGCGAGAAGAGAAACCCAGTCTCTGTGAACTCTATAAATAACTACTATCTGTCAGAATTATATTATCCATTACTAGTAACTAATAAAATATAGTATGGAAAATATAATTTTAGGTTTAACACTGAAGATTTAAGGATGAAATTCTGATCTCACCATAGTAAAAATATTTCTTGCTATTAACCTCACTGTGGCCTGAAGTTCACAGAGAAAAGTGAAGAAAGCAAAAATAAATGTTACACATGGCTCTTCAACTTTCCCTTTTGTATAAACATTAAGATCTTTAAAAGTGTGTTTTTCAAAACTATTTCTCAGACAATACTGTTTTCCAATACCAAATATATTTTTGGCTGTAGAAAATAGTGGCTACATTTATACAAATATGTATTGAAGAATTTACGTGTAGTTTAAATGGTAATCTGATGATTAATGTATTCAAATGCAGTTCAGCTCACTATTCTGGCTCTGTAATACTAACAGGAGTATAAAGTTGCAATTTTCTCTTTATCACGAGATTCAACAAATAGAATGACCAGAAATTTAAAAAGAGCAAAAATGTTTAGTAAAAAAAATCTAAATTTTACTTTTGCTACTGGTATTTTTCATAGTTGATCACACAGATGTACACTGTAAAAAAAATAAAAAAAATCATGCCATAATAATTTAATGAAATAGAGCAGTTTCCCTTAAAGATTGTAAAATCAGAAATCAACTTTTGAGTCCTGCTGATTTCTTATGAAACTCATGCAAAGTAGTACATGAAGAAAACATTCTAGAACAGTGATATATATATATATATATGTTTATATTCATTCATAAAGGGGGAGGGTTGGTGGGGAAAGGCTTCAAATCCTGAAAAGTATCCTTGTCACTCGAAGAAAATCATGTTCATGCAAAGACAAGAAATTTCAAATGCAAAATGAATGTTTTGGGGAATTGAAAACACAGAGACTGATGTGTAAGAGAAAGTCTTCTGAAGATTGAGTTTGGCAGGTCTAGATTAGTAAGGCTGATATAAAGGCTTTCCATTTATTTAGTGTTTACAAGTAGCTGCTTGTTAGCTGTTGAACAGGATTCATTGTCAAGGTAATTCTTTGAAGTTGGATACTGATTAGCCACAAGTAATTATTTATAGACATCATCATGGCATCATTAGATTTTTTTCGATGCACTAGTAG